ATTGAAGTCCCGGAAGTCTACTTTCCATTGGTGGAAGCCTCACATCTAAATTCTAAGTGTACAAAGATATATGACTATTTAAGTGAAGGTTACTCATTTTTATCTTAACCAGATTGATGCCTAACTTCAAATGGCCAAATCTCCCTCATCCGGACTTGGCTTTATGAGATTCTTGAGTCTAAATTGAAGCCCCAGAAGTCTAATTTCCAATGGTGGTAGCCTCACAACTAAATTCTAAGTGTACAAAGAGATAAACCTGATTTAGTGAAGGTTGCCAGTTCTCCCTTAACAGTTTCATGCTTAACCATTTCCCCAACTAGTTTTCTTCTCTCTCCTCTAATTTTCTTCAACTCCAAACCTATAAATAAGAAGTTTTAAAGATTTTTCAAAGATTTCACCCCTCTTCCATTTATTTCCACTTTGTCTTTACTCGAATTACCGAAAAGTGCAACTTTTAAACGAAATGTGATCCTTGGAACATCGTAGAAACTTTTGGGAAAAATATTTTAAAAGAGAGGGCTTTAAGGTCTAACATAGTTTTGGTCAAAATAGTTTTGGTCCAAAATGGGGTGTAAGGTTGGGATTTAGAAGCTCTTATTGCTAAAGAAATTGAGCGATTGCACAGCATAACTTTCATCATCGAGTGATCAATCAGTGGCGCCCAAGTCTTAAAGACAGTAAAAAATGGGGTGTCTACACATCCATATCAAGTAAGTTACCAATGTAGAGAAGAAACAAATAGTACATTGATCATGAAAATTTATGCTCATACCATTTGTAATAGGCAAAGAGATAATAGTAAAATGCAGGTGCAAGCCCATATGCTTGATATCAAAAACAAAATATAATTTGAGGGGATTTATGAAAAAAAAGTCAAGTTCGACTTAGTGAAATTCTTCCCCTATTTCATTTGACAAAAGCAATAGAAGATATGATATATGAAGCTCAAAACAAAATTGTTTCTCCCCAGTGATGCCAATAGGATGCCAACAAGCAATCTAGAAGATTTAACAATCATAGCACAAGCATTATGCAGAATACCAATTATAGCTCATAATAGCTTAAACTCATTATGATCTCATGGAGCTAAGGTAATTCTGCTAAAGAAGCATGTCCAACATATATTACTACAAGAAATTGCACTTTTGGCAACGACGTTAATTTTTCATAGGCAAAACTATATTTTTGGTGACACAATGATCAATTTCGTTGGTAAGAGTAGACATTTACCTGATGCAATTTACTACCGTCGCTAAAAAAGCATAACATTCACTAGGGGCCAAAATGATTGGCTGGCGCCAAAATTTCAAAAATTTTAGCTACGAGATTTATTTTTTAGCAACACAATAAGCGTTCCTAATAGTGTGCTTACTTTTGGCGACGACAAGTTGGCATGGGCAAAGAGTTAAACATTTAGCAACGATAACACTATTCGTCGATAAAAGTTTTATTTGTGAAATGAGGTGATTTAGTGATTTGTGTTTTTATTATAACTTTTCAAAGAATTTTGAATATTCTAGTTATTGAATTGTAAAATTAAAGTGATCATCAAATTAGATGACAAAATGAACCCATCAACGCCAAACACACTCTTAAGTTGAGATGGCTAATTTGAGATAATCTAAACTTTTCCAAAGAATGTTAGATTATCAATTTAAATATGTTTGGTTTTATTTTTAGAAACTTGTTTTATATTTTTTTTCTTTTGAAAAACTAAAAAAAAAAATTTGGTGAAAAATTAAAAAACACTTATTATTATTTTTGTATAATTTTATCTTTTAAGAGGTCATAAATAATTTTTAAAATTTTAAGAATAGCCCGCAATAAGTTAACTGTAGAGCTTCTTCTCACAAGTTCAAATGCATGTAACAAATTAAACACGATTGTCAGTTTAGATATTCAATCAATCAATCCTTCTCTCTTTCTACAATCACTAGTACAATTTCCCAAACTAGGGTTTTGGGATTTGGAAAATTTCTCATCATTTTCTCTCTTCCTAAACAATAGGAGTAACCATCCTGACTGACGCATGGGAACCGAATCAGGCGCTATATGTTTTCATATTAGTATCCTACTCTCTCTCAATCTTTTGTCTACCTCACCTCTTATCGAATTCCAACAGAACTCTCACTCACACTCCATTCAATCACTCTCTTCCTCTTCGCTCTTTCGTTTCCAGATAAGTTTTCTTTTCCTCTATTTTCTCTCTTCAGGTCTGCATTGTACATTTCTTTAGAGTGCCATTCAGTTTAGTTGATGAGAAAAATAATGAAAAAAAGAGAAAGAAAACTTGAGATTTTAAGAATTAAAAGCTCAAATACTTGTTATTAAGCTAAAAGCCTAGATTTTGATCTTGCTTTAGTCGTTAATCAGTTTCTGATTATCTTTTTTTTTTCCCTGCTCTATGTTTCTCTCAGTAATGGAAAGGCTGTGGTCAGTGTTTAGAGAGTATGAGTTGTCATATTATGGTGTTGGTAGGGTGCAAATGGTGTTGTCTTTGTGTGTTGGTTACGCAGCTGCTCTCTTCCTTGGTACTTTCTTAGGCATGCTTTCTGATCTAATGTAAGTGCATATTGTTGTTGCCTGTGGTTTCTTGTTTCTTCTTCTTTTGTTTTTATTTTTTGTTTGATGCAAAGTTAATAGGTTTATGGTCTAATACATATATACTTCATTCTTGCAAATGCATACACCTAGGAATAACAAAATCAATGAGATGGTTGATTTGAATTGTGAAGCAAACAAAACATTTTCTGTATTTTTTGGAAAATTTCAGGTTATTTAGACATTATTCACAATATTAGGAGTAATCGGTGAATAAGTAGGTGATAACATCAAGATATTCACGAAAATGGCATGGCAATGATTTCAAAATGCATGATAGTTTGTTCGAAACTAATTAAATATACTTCTGGACTATGTACTCTGTTTGTATGCAATTCTACCTCGACAAGAAGATTGCACAGGTTCTTTTGTGTTGTTATTTTAACATAATAAGTGGATAACCTTCTCATTAGCATTCATGCATGTTGCTTCTACTGATAAGTTATAGAGTTATTATGTGTGCTACTACTACACAACTTGTCTTGTGGTGTTTCTTGCTTTACTGATTACAGTATGATCGCTTCATTGAGTGCTATATCTATTGAAATGCTTTCTAATTTGGGGGTTACAAGGCATAGTAAACTACTAAATTGTATCCATATTCATGGTTTTGTTTTTTCTACTAAGTTATAGTGCAATTTATTATTTAAAGCATAGGTCAAAAGAAAGTTCGTTAATATTTTGCATGCTGCACGTCGTTGTTAGCGTGTGGAAGAGAATTATTGCACATCCAAGTGTCTGGTTAGCAAGTATCTGTCTCTCGCTTGCCAGTTCTATATTTTCATTTAGTTTTAAGACATGGATGGTAGTTGAGCATGACAAGGTTTGTGTTAAAAAACTAGTTTTCAATTTTGGATTAGACATTGGTAGCATGTTTGCTTTTGGAAACTCTATTACATGAAACTGATTAGTCCTGTTTTTTATCCTAAACATGTATTTCTTTGCAGCTAGTGTACAGGCAAGATACATTGAATGACTTGTTTTGGTTAATGACATTCACTAAATCTAGATCTTTCATCAGTAGCCAAGTGATAGAATATTCGCTAGAGAAGCTCTGCAGTTAACTATTGTTTGTGTTAACTGTATCCAAACTTGAAAGTATACAATGCTCAGCTTCAAGTTTAAGTGCATGAAAGTAATGGTCTTTCTATTTTAAATATACTTCTTCAAAATATTATATTTTGATGCATTCTTCATGTTTTTGTTGCTTCTGAATACATTGTATACATGGAATTGAAATTAATTGTGCAATGGTAGGATTATGAAATAACTTATGAATTAGTTTCTTAGACATTTTTTTTTTTGCATGAATTCATGATTAGTTAACCTGTTAATGAAATATTCATTTTGTTTCTAAATCTAAATTTACTTAGTATCCCATTGTTGTCATTACTGCCTTTTTGTTAGTTACATTATATATAAACCATTTTACTTAGTCCTTGACAAGCCATCCTTCTTTTTCCTTAATTGTGCTACTTTTTATTCTGTTTGAGAATTTACGACACTGTTAACATTTTACTTGAAACATGAAGTAATCAGTTACTTGATTGAAGGATCACCTTTTGTAGGGCCTAGTTCTCTGTCAAGACTTAATTGAAAAGAATCACTATGTGCTGGTTTATTGCATTAGTATTAAATTTGTTGAGAATTCTCAAATATTGAAATGTGTAGGATAATGAAGTGGTGCAATGCTATGAAATTTACTAGCGATTGGTTGTTTGGTTCCAAATGCCATTTTTCACTATTTATATTTGACCAACTTTCTCCTTTCCGATATTGTTAGGAAGTACAAATAAGGCTTTATTACTTTGAGAGGTGTCTTTTTCCACTCCATGAGAGGAAGTTACTGGGTTAAAGTTAGTAATTCAGATTCTCATCTATTTAACATATTTTGCTACTTTTTGCTTAGTTTCCTTTTTTACCTTTAATTTAGGTCACCTTTGTTCTATTATTTTGTGCTTTGGGATGCTACAATTTCATAGCCTATCACTTTTTTTTGCAAGATAAATTTTTATATTCATTGATAAGTATATCTATATATTCATTGATAAGTAAATCTGTATTTTTTCGTTTCAATTTGTAACTTACTTACCCCCAAAAAAAAAAAATGCTCTTCTTGTTGCTTTATGATTGGTTTTACCTGTATCTTCTTGGTAATACTTATCTGTTGTTTCATAATGGACGGGACAATTTCATAGCCTATCACTTTTGTTTGCAGGATAAATTTTTATATTCATTGATAAGTATATCTGTATATTCATTGATAAGTAAATCTGTATATTTTTTTGTTTTAATTATAACTTACTTACCCAAAAAAAAAAATGCTCTTCTTGTTGCTTTATGATTGATTTTAACTGTATCTTTTTGGTAATACTTATCTGCTGCTTCATAATGGACAGGGTTACTTGATGCTCTTTGGTCATTTTGATGTTCAATGGTTTGGCTTTGAAGTTTGGTGGTGGTTGGAACTTTTTTTTGCCATGCCGTGTCAGTGAAGTGGATCATCCTACAGTTTTCAACACTTTTTGTGTACATTTCTCAAAAAAAAAAAAATGCTCTTCTTGTTGCTTTATGATTGATTTTAACTGTATCTTTTTGGTAATACTTATTTGCTGCTTCATAATGGACAGGGTTACTTGATGCTCTTTGGTCATTTTGATGTTCAATGGTTTGGCTTTGAAGTTTGGTGGTGGTTGGAACTTTTTTTTGCCATGCCGTGTCAGTGAAGTGGATCATCCTACAGTTTTCAATACTTTTTGTATACATTCCTCTTTGATGTTGCTGCTACTATATCCATTAGTTTATTACCTACTCCTACGGGTTATGTAGGAGATTATACTATAATTTTTAGTTGGGTAGTTGTGGTAAGTAATGGTGATATGGTTGTAATACTTTTTGTTACTGTAAAATTGTGTTGTTACTGCCAAAGAAGTTGAATTTACAACTAGTATTCTACCCAGGTGCTAGTGCTATAATAGGAGCATTTTGTAGAAAATTATTGTCATATGTGTAATATATATATGCTAGCGATTTTTTCATTTTTAGCGACACAATCAATTGTCGGTAAAATAAATCTTATAAAAAATATAAATGATTTTTAATTATTTTTGTCGATGCAAATTTGTTATTGCCAAAAAATAAAGCTTTCTCGACAAATAACTCGTCGGTAAATGTGTTGCCAAAAATTTACTTTTGTCGACTTATATTGTGTTGCTAAAATTATATTTTTTGCTGACGCGAATTTGTGTCGGGAAAAGTGCCACACAATCATCATATTTGAACTACTTTTACAAACGCAAGGAAAATTACTGACGATGGATGAAGGCTTTTACCGACGACTCTGTTTGTCACTAAATGGATTACTTTTACCAACGCAATGATAATTTCCTTGGGAAAAAGTTTTGCCGACTCACTTTTACATACGAGTTGCCCACGTAGCTCCGTGTGTCGGCGAAACTTTTTGCTGACGAGTTTTTCCTTTTAGCAACATATTTTGTTGCGTTGCGAAAAATGCAATTTCTTGTAGTGTCATATGTCTAGAAAATCATGAAATCAATATATAGCACATATTTAAGCATATGCATAGGCAAAAGCAAAATTTATCTTCATTTAACATCAAAAAATATTCATTACAAATCATATGATGCATATTTAAATTTCATGAATAATCAACCCCTTTCACATCATTGTGATGAAAATATTAGCTCAAAGAATATGAGAGAACATATAAATTTTACCTCAAAAGCTCAAGAGTGTGTAGGAGGCATACCTTTGGTTCAAGAGTTGAAAACTTTCTCAGACTTCAATTTCCTTTCATGAGGAGTACATCTTAATTGGGTTTAACATAATTATTTCTCTCCCTAAGTTAGTGCTTCCCTTTTCTTTGGTGATATTGTGCAAAAATTGCAATCATAAAACAATCACTTTTATACTTATGAAAAATACAACACACAATAAATGTTGTTCTATATCACCTCTTATCACAAACTCAAAAGATGAGAAACAATTCAATAGGTGCCAAGTTCAAGTAAAAAGTTTAGAATGCTATTTTTCAAAATTTTCAAATTGTAGTACATAACATATTATACATGAGAAAATAGTTTTATGCTCCTTGTTCTATCAAAAAGTGATGCATCATACTCATTTTATTACACAAACATTGTCAAGAGGCATTTTCATCAAATATGTTCAATCTACATGCTCAAGCTTGATATATCATTTTACTCAATGTGGAAGAAAACATGAATGCTATAGGCAAGTTAGTTTTGGCAATTTATCACTCCAAAGCATTTCATGAGATATATGCCATGATATTCAATAAACATATGATTTTTCATCGATCAAGAGATCTAATCAAATATTTCATAACTCAGTCAAATATTCTGATGTGAAGCATATGAGCATGAATTTTTCATATTAAGCATACTTTTGAGATCACAAGTGTACATGGACGTACCAAACACAATTTTCACAATATAGTTAGTATACAATCTCAAAACATGCTATATCATCAAAATTGATTCTATAAAGATATGACTCAAAAAGAATTAGCATATTAGTATGTAGTCATATATAAGATGTCAAAAATACAAGAGTATGCTCATAAAAAATATTTTCATTTTTTCTTTTCATTGCAAAGGATGACAAGATATAACATAGTCAATGAATACAAGAATCATCTATAAATGAGCATTCGTCAATATAGTGTAAATCTCAATTTTGAGTTCAATGATGGTTTGAAACGAAACAAGCAGAACATGATATAGCAAACTTAGCAAACTTTAGGTTTTATGAAATCAATTAACAAATTCAATCTATTTAACATACATCACACCTTAAGACATATAAAAGTTAAGCTTAAAGGTGTGTTAGAGGTTTATACTTTCATTTACCTCTTTGGAATCTTCACCCATACACTACCTCTCATGTTCATCTTGGTGATTCTCATTTCATCATTTGTCTTCTTGTAGGGACTGATTTTGTTCTTAAAATTGAACATTCTTGTTGTGCTTCTTCTCTTCAAGTCCTTGGTGTTCTTTGAGATATCTCCTACAAAATAACTTGATTTCTTTCTTGGTACCCATATTTTCTTGGGTCCATGGGGATTAGCCTCAAGAACATTTCTCATAAGTAATTTAGGAGGACCCCTTTCAAAATTAGTTTTGATGTTCTTTTGTTTCTTGATAAAACCAATGCCTACTTTATCAAAAACATATTTTTGATTTCCAAGAAGCTTGTTGAGGTTTTCTTTTTCTTTTTCAAAAATTTCAAGAATTTTGTTTAAATCCTCAACCTATTTTTCAAAATATTTTTCTCATTGGCAATAGATGTAAAATTATTTTTCAAAGTAGAATTTTCTATTTTCAATACATCCACATCATTTGATAGAGAAGTAACTAATTTCTTTAACATAGAATTTTCAGCACTAACATTTCTAAATTCATCATGTAATTCATTGAAAGCACTTTCAAGTTCTTCATAGTTAAAGGTTAACTCATCATCTTCTTTTGCCATTAAGCATAGATGAGATGCTTTATTTGTGTTGTCTTCCTCATCGGAGCAATTTTCATCATCTTCTCCTCAAATACCTTTAGTTTTCTTTTTACTTCCATCCATCATTGTAAGTTCATGAGCTATGAGTGACCCCAAAAGTTCTTAAATACTTAATCTTGTTAGATCCTTTGCTTCTTAAATAACAGTAACCTTAGCTTCTCATTTCTTTGGCAAGGACCTAAGAATTTTTCTCACAAGCTCCACATTAGTATAGGATTTACCAAGAGATTTTAAAGTACTAATAATATTGGTAAATCTAGAAAACATATCAGAAATATATTCAAAGGATTCCATCTTAAAAAGCTCATAATCATGAACAAGCATATCAATAAGCAATTCTTTTACTTGACTAGTTCCTTCATAGGTCATTTTAAGTTTATCCCAAATCTCTTTTACTGTAACACAACTAGAAATCATATTGTATTTATTTGTATCTAATCCACACACAAGGATATATTTGGCCTTAGCATTAGCTTGTAGGAGTTTATAGTCATGTCCATCAAATTCTTCTTCAATTTTGGACACACTAATATTGTCTACTAATTTGGTAGGGATTTTAGGACCTTTTGTGATAATGAGCCATAAAGCATAATCAATGGCTATAATTATTTCCAAGCTTACATCCACTCCTCAAGCTTCACTTGAGATTTTCCACTAGCTTCTAGCTTCATAGGGGTGCTAGTAACCTCATACACATGGAGCAATCCTCCACAGATTTTCCATAGCTTTACAGGCTTGCTAGTGACCTTTTACAAGATTGGAATTGAGTGTTTTTGCTTTTAAAGAAAGCTACAAAAATATCTCTCATAGATAGATATACAATGTTGAAGCTCAGAAGATATATCAATAAACCTCTCATAAGTAAAAGGGCTTAAAACTATAAGGCTCAGTTACTGATTTTGAAGGAGAAAGAATTACACAAGAATGGAGAATACTTCAGATAACTCTTAGGATGAGTTTGAGACTAATGATTGATTCAAAGAAATTTTCTTGGCTCAAGTCTCTTTGATTTTTCTGATAAGCTCTCACAGACAAATAGGCTTAAGGCTTAGGCTCAGTGTTTGTTTTCTGAAGGATGAATGAAACACAAATGAAGACCTCTTTAGATAACTCAGAGAAGATGAAATATACGGTTGATGAATGATAAGAAAATATCTTGGTTCGTTGTTCATTTCCCTGTCTTTGCTCTTCACATCAGAGCTATATATATATATAGAGCAGAGCTCAGTGCTCTGTTTTGTCTGCCAAGCGCATCTTCTTCTTCCTGTTGAGGAGATGGGATGATGATGTACATGTTATCAACGTGAGCCTTTGTCTCTAACCCATGTTAAACACTAAGAGAATCATAGATTATAATGATTTAATCAAACAATAAGTTTTTAATTATAATCCATCAAAGCAAAATCAAAACAATGCTTCTGCTTCTGTTACTATTTGCTTGTTTGTTTGAGCTAAAATTTTGGCCTCTAATAAACATAAACAAGACAAAATGAGGATGAATTATAATGTTAAATTAATTATAAGATTTTAAACAATTTAACTCTTCAATTAAATCAAAATATAAATTAAAACAAAATTATCAAAATCAATGTTATTCATGCTATGACTAATATGAACAATGAGTTTTTTTTTTTTTTTTTTTAAGGATAAATTATGTGTCAAGTCTGTGTGATAGAGTTAAAAATTTACAAGTTTTGTATATTTTTTTAATGCATCGGTAAGTCTTAGAATGTTTATTTTATTCCAACTTTTGAGAATGTTGATAGAGGACAAAAATGAGTAAGACTTCTAGATAAATAAATTTAGTCAATAGAATTGGCTTGTAATGTTGTGTTTGGATCATGAATTTTGATATAAATTTTTTAAAAAAAAATGAAATGGTAAGTAAAATATGAATAAAATACAACTACATTTTAGTCACCTTTTTTCTTTTCATTTTTAAATCTTTACCCAAATTCATAATTCAAACTGTAAATAAAAACA